TGCCCACACTAGAAACATTCGTGTTTTAGTACTTGCTATGCTAGGTTTAGGAGCAAAGTGGCTTTAGAAATGTGAAAGATGAGCATGGTAAAGAAYATTTCAATATATTTTAATAAATTACTTTTAAAAATTATGATTGAAAAACAATTATTAGATTAAATTTCTTTATTATTGTGTTTTCCCCCTCTCCACTTAAAAAAAACACTTGAAGTCTTTTGAGACTTACTTTTGTAATAAGAGGCAGTAAGAGAACCCAGATTTAAAAAATGTTAACATTGCTGCCAGTGGTGCTTTAGGGTCACCATGGTAATGACACCTGTCTCTCACTCCCTGACTACGTACCTGATGGGAGGCCGACAGGAATGCAGATGTAAAAAATAAGCCTCAAACCAACAAGTCACTGTGAAAACTGTAACTCAAATTGAATTAAATCCTAAATAAGTGACAGTAAAGTCTTTTTTTATTGTTTAATAAAATTAGCCTTCTGGTAAAAAGTGTAAAACTGCTGTTTATACTGTGAGGTACACCTGGCTAAGTCACTTGTTTTGTGATAATCACACTATTCTTTTTTAAACATCATGTTAGGATGCTTTATCATATTAGTTTTTCCAAAGCTGAAGGAATAAGAGTGAAGGGRAGTTTTGTGACTGATTAAGTGAATTTCAGATACGGTCTTATATTTTATTATTTGTGATGGAAGAGCCAACCTGTCTCTTAATATGTGTCTCCCTTCAGAAGTGTAAGAATAACATTTAGATTTCCAGTTTTTCGGTGCTGATGTAGGAGGCACCKCCCCCAGGGGTGTGACCAGGGTCTTCTATAAATGTTATGGTTTKCTGARGACACAGAGATTAGAGCAGCTGAGGGAGTTAGAAGTCATTTTGTTTTGGTTAGTCTCAGGGCCACAGACACAAGCTCTGCCTTTTTAAATCTAAAAATAAACYTTTTACTGAGAACTGGATTTGGTATTCTATGCATTATTCTGGTTTAGAATTTTGAACATTTTCTAACAAAAGCAGATTAAATATTACGACAGAAATAAAAAAGAATTGAAAAAGAGAATAATTGTAGGGGTGTTATAATAATATATTGGCAAATTAAATAAAGTCTTTTTAAACACAAGAGATGACTGTTGTGTTTATGGATTATGACTGAGTCAAACAAATGAACCTGAAGTGTTGTTGAGACATGACTTCTGAATTAAAGTCATTATTAAAACCTTCAAATGATTCRTTTTCTATTGTTTGCTTAGAGACCGTGTGAATTCAAAGACCGTGTGAATTCTTCTCTGTCTCTGCAGAGCAGCCTCGGTCTGGGCTCCTYCAGGCCTCCATCATCAGCTGTTATGTCATGTACCTGACTTTCTCTGCTCTGTCCAGCCGTCCTCCAGAGAAAGGTAGGCTTACACAAACACTGCAGATGTATGACACTGTACATGTCTGTGAGTTCCTACTGGAAACAAAACATTAAGCTTTGAAACATTTTTTTGTGTAGGTCTTTTAAAAGAAGAAAAACACRAAGAGAATATTTACACAGCCTGTGGGTTTTGTGTCAAAATGTCCCTAATTACACCTTGTTTCAGCTCAGTAGCGAGGAAATAATGTTTTTTTAGCGTAGGGTTACATTCATTACTTTCTGAGCTCATTTTCAAAGTTTCAAAGTTTTGACACAAATAATCCCAAACTGATTAAAAACTGTCAGGGAATAGTTCCCTTTTTTTTTTTTTTTTTTTTTTTAACAAAATGAACACAAGATTGTAAAATCGGGTTAGATGTTGCAGTAATCCCTCTTGCAGTAACTGAGCAACAATTAGCCACATTCTGGTATTTTGATGTTTAATTTTAGGCATCAAATGTTATTATTTAGGCTCTAAATGGTTAGTTTGAGGTGATAAAAGCTAACAGTTAGTGTAAAATGAGAGATGACTTTTTAAGGCTTAGCTTCTGCCCCATCTTCAAAACACCTGTGAAATGTGGGATAAATAAAACGTCAGATATTTTAATCTGGAAAAAAGTTGAGTAGGTCCTCTGGACAGGTTCTTTGTTGGCCGTGGATTTAAGAAGTTTCTTAAGAAATGTTTTCAACAAAGAAGAACAGGTCCAGAGGCACTTCTCAATTTTTTTTTTTTTGATTTTTCTACCTGGATTATTGAAATGCATCAGGACATTCAGACGTTTAAGTTACCAAATACAGTCAAATCTTGTAAAGCAATTATTGTTTCACATCTACACGAGAAATGAAATCCAGCTGCACCTCTGTCATTTGTTTTCACTGCTTTCCTAAGTATTTACCTGATGGTTATAGGTATGACAAAAGGCCATGAATGACCGAGACATTAGTGTGTGTGTGTGTGTGTGTGTGTGTGTGTGTGTGTGTGTGTGTGTGCCCCTCTTCTCACTGTCTTTCAGAAACA